AGAGAGAGAGAGAGAGAGAGAGAGAGAGAGAGAGAGAGAATTTTTTAATATTTATTTTTCAGTTTAAGGTGGACACAACATCTTTATTTTTATATGGTGCTGAGGATCGAACCCAGCACCCCGTGCATGCCAGACAAGCGCGTTACCGCTTGAGCCACATCCCCAGTCCCTATTTTGTATTTCACTGAGTTGTTTAGGGCCTCACTGTTGCTGGCTTTGAACTTGTGATCCTCCTGCCTCAGTCTCCCGAGCTGCTGGGATTACAGGCATGCAACATAATGCCCAGCCAAACCAGCAAGATCTTGAACTATGAGACAAAGATTGAACAGAAATGGTACATATAGCAGGAAAAAAAAAAATGAACACTGAACAGTATTAAAAAGACAGGAAGTAGGTAAGTGTGTTTATAACAAGAGTCATCCGAGGTACACAGGTAACAGGTTATTAGCTATAGAAGATTTGTTCAAATCCATCTCTAAAGAGCCCTCCATGCCATGCTAAGGAGTTGGATCCATGTTCTAGGGCAATGATAAGCCAAGACAATGGTTTGGATTTAATAACTTAAAAGCAAAGCACAACTTTTCAATGAAAGGGTATTATAATTCCCTAAATTAAACAGATTTATAAGGCTATAATAAAGATACAATAAGGGACAGATACTGCCAGATTAATATCCACACTGGAGAAAGATCTAGAAAAATCTTTAGAACTTGTTTTTCTAATTAAACTTCACACTTGTACTACTACCTCTAGTATTAAGAGGCATTAATTATCATATAAATATATACCAATTTTAAGAAAATTCAAAGACTCAAGTTTTCAATTTTAAAACTCCAGATTGGTAAGGGCTGTTTATTTTAGAAGAAATACTTGCTGCAACTCATTAACTCTCAATTTAAATACAAATTTCCAGGCACAGAACATTACCACAATTACATATGGAAAAAGTAACTCTCCCTGTATCCTAATGAAGGAAAAATAAAGTTAAAATTACACACACACACACACACACACACACACACACACACACACACACACACACACACATGAAAAACACACACACACACACACACACACACACACACACACACACACACACACCCCATATTTAAAGACATTAAAATGAACAGAAAACTTCATCTAAGTAATTATGGACAAGACAGAGACTCCCCACCACCATCATCATTCTGTAAATCAATTTTTCCTGCTTCAAATCAGCAGAGAGAGAATATTGGAGGGGGGGTATAACTTACCAAATGAAGTTTGTACTGAGAACTTTTTCTATCAGAAGGTTTCACAAGGAAATCTGCAAAAGAAACACATTTTATAATGACAAATATTTTAAGAATCGAGATAGATTTTACTACCAGATTTTTCTGTACAAGTTAGAACATATGATGGATATTTCTTGCTGCAATAAAGACTGTTCAGAAAACACTCTTTATTGCAGCAAATAACCACAAATTTTATAATATTTAAATCACAGAATTAAGACCCAGCCAGGCCTTCGCATGCCTTCTGCAACAGTAGAAATATACAAAAAAGAGCTTTCCAGGAACCTCCTATTTTAGGGCTTTTCTTCAGTCAAGAAAGCATCATTTCTGATAGCTTGTCAAGGAAATCTCCGCAACTTAAAACAACAGGTACGTTAAAAACTAAGGTCACAGCTACTCTGGTTTGGACTTCCTAGTTAAAGTTTTTGGTACATATAATTGCCTTCTACCAATGAATCTTTTTTAAGAAAGGGGCACAAAGAATTTGTTCTCTACTAGGCAACAATTCTGACCTTTACAGAAATAAAAGACATAATTGACCTAATTCCTTTGTGATTATTTCTCTCAATATTTATAGACACAATTCTTTTGAGCTGATTGTTTAAGTGACATGAAGTCATATACGTGAAGAAGAATATAATGAATATTGAAACTCTAAAGAATCAGAAAAAGAACTATTTCATTAGAAAATGAGGGTGGAATTCAAGGAAGCTAGCCAGCTATGTACGATATTCTAGTAACCTCCCAAGAAGACATATGTCCATCAGATAATTAGGGTTGTGGCCGGGTGTGATGGTGCACACCTGTAATCCCAGAGGCTTGGGAGGCTGAGAGAGGAGAATTGGGGATTCAAAGCCAGCCTCAGCAAAAGTTAGGTACTAAGCAACACAGTGAGACCCTGTCTCTAAGTAAAGTACAAAAAAGGGATGGGGATGTGACTAGTAGTGGTCAAGTGCTCCTGAGTTCAATCCCCAGTACCCCCCCCCAAAAAAAGATAATTCGGGTTGTGGGGTGGGATTAAATTCAACACAAAATCACTACATCTATTCTAAGAATTATCTGACATGTTTTAGAAATTACTTATTCTGGCAGAAATATGTTCATTAAGTGTTCATGTAAAATTTCCACATAAAATTCCAAGAAATGAACCAAATAAAAAGACAGATTCAACGAAAAGGCTGAGACAGGTAGGTTTCAATTACAGCAAAGAATCTTCTTCCCAATAACCAAAACCAAACATCTTCTTGACTGGAAATAAGCATATCACTGTGAAACACCACCAGCAAAATACATTGCCCATGTCTCTAAGGACTATTTGTCACATAAGTGCCATGAGTCTAAAAGAAGCTTGGCGGGAGACAAGCCTGAGGCACTGGGTTTGATCCCCAGTACCACATAAAAATAAAACAAATAAAGTAAAGGCATTCTGTCCATCTACAAAAAGAAAAAGAAAAAAGGTGACGAGCGCCTTCCTATGATAAAGTCATATGTACCTCAAAGTAGTCATGTTTTGGAGCCTTGAACATAATCTTAATTTTAGAGCTAGAGAATTTAATATGGTTATGTTGGGTGAGGTAGGGGTTAATTAACTCTTAAATGTTAAAGTTACTCTTAAGTTCCATCACAAGGGAATACAAAAATTAAATCCTTCTGGCGAGATGCAGTAGCCAGCAGCTCCAGAGGCCAAGGCAGGAGGATCACAAGTTCAAAGCCAGCCTCAGCAAAAGCAAGGCACTGAGAAACTCAATGAGACCCTGTCTCTAAATAAAATACAAAATAGGCTGTGGCAAAGTGATCAAGTGACCCTGAGTTCAATTCCCAGTACCCAAAATAAAATAAATCATTCTGAAGCTATCTGAATTAAGATGTAAGTTTTTTACCATTACATATTACACCATATGAATATGATTTTATCTATTGTAAGAGATAACCCTAAAGAATAAAAATCAATACAGTTGAATACTAAATACTATGACACATGATGTTATCACACAGTTTGATCAGAGAAAGAAACCTAACACAATATACTCAATGAACTCTCTTTCTGGAAGATAATGAGGTTGACTATGAAAGTCATTGAGGCCCTGAGAAGGCCAAGAAGGAATGGACAAATTTAGTATCTACTCAGTATAGTTTGTGATTACCTATGTGCCACCTACCACACTAGCTTCAACAAGGGCAAAGAGGTACACCAATCTGGATGATTTATATAATCTTTTGAAGCCATTACATTTTTTAAGGAATTTAACCTTTATTTTTTTTATTTGCTTTTAGGCGGTGCTGAGGATCTGACCCAGTGCCTCACACCCATACTAGGCAAGCGTTCTACCACAGAGCCACAACTCCAGCCCCAACTTTTTAAAAAAATTTTTAAGTTGTTGATAGAAATAAATGAATAAATAAAGATTTATGTGGTGCTGAGAATCAAACCCAGTGCCTCACACATGCCAGGCAAGTGTGCTACAACTGAGCCACAGCCCCAATTTTTTAAAAAACATAAAAATTAATCAGTAAATATAAACAAGGGTCCCTCTCCTGAGAGAACCTACTCTCTCCCTTTACTGTGTCCCCTTCTCTCCTTTCCAATAAACTCATGCCTATTATTCTGAAAAAATTAATAAAACAGGAAAAACTAAAACAAAGGCCAGGCATCCTAAAATGTTTGGGGGGATGGGAGAGGGGGACAGTGGAGAACTTTTTTTTTTTTAAACTGAAATACATTTTGAAAAATAAAGTAATTTTCAAATAGCCCTGTCACTTTTCAAATGCAGGATATTAAGAGTTTAAAACTTTAAGAAGGCAAGCAACATTAAATAATTTTAAAACAATCTTATTTACTGTGGATATGAAAACAAATGGATCTTCTTGCACATGCACTGAATAGTTTTAAAAAAAACAGATTTGGAACACACTTTGAGTGTGGAGGCAATACTAAATAGTAGATCCGGGAATATTAAATTTTAAGAAATGATTTTACAGCAAGGCACAGTGACACAGACCTTAATCCCAGCTACTTTAGAGGTTAAGATGGGATCACTTGAGCCCAAAAGTTCAGAACCATCCTGGTCAAATAGCTAGATCCCATGTAAAAATAAATAAATAAATAAATTTTTTACAAGATTTAAAAAAAAAAAAAAAAAAGCTTTACAACTGCCACTGAAAGGGATAATTTTTTTCTTTTTTCCTTTTTTATGTCTATTAACTTTTTAGATATTCAAAACTAGGATACCTGTAGTAGGTTGGGTAGGATTCCTTGGTGGAGAGATGATTTAATCATTGGCATTAAGTCAAACACAAGCATTTATCATCTGGGTAAAGCAACTATGGCTTAAACTTATTCCCTCAAACTCAAGTTTCCTAAAAACCTTTACTGCTTAAGACAAGTATAACTAAAACTACAAACAAGGAGAAAATCAAAAACATTACTGCATCCACCTACTATGCTTAAGTGGTGAAGATTCATGCATTCAACAAATATTTTTGGATGGGAGGTACTACTCCAGACCGTGGTGATGCAGCAATGAACAAAATTAAGCTCTAATCCTTCCGCAGCTGTCATTTTACTATCAACTACAATCTCACAGGCCTGATTGTTCACTGACTTTTTTCCCTATTTATACTTTGAAAACAATAAAACAAATTGGCAGTATTTAGTTCAATATGTAACTTTATGATCAGTGTACTACAGTTTTCTGCCAGCTGTGGGACACAGATAAGCAGTTAAAATATTATCATTTCCTAAACAAAAAACTACCTCCCTCTCTGGGGCAGGGGCGGAGGTTGGGGGGGCTTATCAAGTTGTCAGAATCAGCTAGACTTCATGTTATAATCACATTTCTGTACCAAAAGAAACTATAGTGGTACCAAGACTCTTAAACCACTAACATTTATGATAATGTCACTATAATAAGCATAAGCTCGTGGAGCACAATGGCACATACCTATACTATAATCTCACTTAGTTGAGAGGCTGAAGCAGGATGACTGCAAATTCAAAGTCAATCTTAGCAACTTTACAAGACCCTATCTCAAAATAAAATTATAAGGGTTGCAGGGGCTGGAGTTGTGGCTCAGTGGTAGAGCATTTGCCTAGCATGTGTGAGGCACTGGATTCGATCCTCAGCACCACATAAAAATAAAAATATTGTGTCCATCTACAACTAAAAAAAAAAAAATTTGAATTTAAAAGGGTTGGGGATGTAGCTCAGTGATAGTTGCTGGACTAGCATGCACAAGGCCCTGGATTTAAAAAAGGTAACAGCTTTGTTTCAACAGATAATAACCAGAAGATCAATTCTGTCTGGTTCTGTACTACATTAATGGTGGCGTTTGGCCCATTTCTCATTTACATAAATGGACTTTTTTATATATATATATAAAATGTGGGAGAGGTTCTGAACACATTCCTCAAAGAAGGCTCTGCAAGAAAGAGAATTTCAAAGTCAGCTGGTAATCAATGTTTAAGGTCATTTTTCTTCATTTAGCCACTGAAATGCTAGCAAAAGTTTTTCCAAATGTGAACCCCAAAACATGAGAAATTAAACACAAAGTGATCATTGTGCTCTGATATTTTTAGACATTAAGATACTTCACAACACCTTATTGTTTTTCACATCAAGAAATAGGAAGGGGGAAGCCCCGAGTTATCAGAAAAGATTAACTATGATGAATTCAATAATAACTGGGTACCCTTTAAAACAATTTCACAACCACTTCTCTTTAAACTTAATCCTCATGGCAGGGGCAGGTGAGGGGACATATCAAGCATATATGATGACTTGATCACCAAAATAGATTAAAACCAATCACATACAAATTTTTTTAAAGTGGGGAGGGTTAAGAATTCTTATTTCATTCTTTGTACTAAGGATTGAACCCAGGGGCACTTAATGTGGGGATGATGAATCACATTCCCAGTCATCTCTCCCCACCTTTGTATTTTATTTAGAGACAGGATCTTGATGAGTTGCTTAGGGCCTTGCTAAATTGCCGAGGCTGGCTTTGAACTCATGATCCTCCTACCTCAGCCTCC